AGAGGCAAAGGCAGACAGAGGGAAAAGATACTGGACAAGATGACAACATGGCTAGGAGCAGCAAGAACAACAGACACCATTGCTGCAACGCAAGACAGCGTGAAGTGGAGGTTCTTGATCGCCCACGCCAGTCGGCAAGGCACCGGATGATGAAGATGAACTCCTCAGACCCGCAAAAGTTGACGAGCGGCTGATCCTACCACGTCATGACAAATTTATCTCAATTAAGAAGTGGGCTGCTTCAATCTTGCCTATCAAGGCCAACGCGGCCTGAGAGGGGTACAACATCCCTGCAGAAAGATACGTGTACTCGATGACAGAGTTGTAATGGGGGCTCTCGTGGCCTAGAGGTTAAGGTGTTGGCCTCTCATTCAAAAGGTCCCTGGTAGCAACCGAAAATTTTCTTCTCTAAAATTGTCTCCTTTCACCTCCTTTTCTGCTCTCTAGCAATGTTCTGTTGTCTGCTTTCATTTCCACTTTCTACCCCCACCCCCTCACCTCCTTTGCCCCCTCCTCTGGGCTCCTGACTCTTTCTTCAGCCTTTCTACTGCTACTTCTTGGCTCCTCCTTATTGCTGTCTTTCAGCCACACCCCAGATCTTCTAGTAGGAAAGATCTACACCTAGCCTTCTGGGACAAGGGCGAAAAATCTCAGAGGGCCCGTGTGCAAGTTGCGAACGTTGGTGGTCTAAAATCGATAAGAGTAGGCTTCGGCCGCCACCCTGGCAAAATTCAAAATTTCCTACCAACTGAAAATATTAGGTGTGTCCTGCGCGCTCATATGACCTTATACAGTTGCGAGCGCCGTAAAACACTTTACAAAAACCAAAAAAAACAAACAAAAGTTGTAATACTCTCCGCTTTCTGGAGTCGAACTAATGCATTCTTTGAGTGATGGCGATGCTCTTAACCACTACACCACAGACGCAGTGCATTAGAAGCTCTAGGAACACACGGTGAGATGTTCTTAGGTAAAGGCATCCACATATGAAGGATGGTATAAAATGAAGAACTATAAGAGTGGATAGGAAGACTAAGAAAACCCTGAAAACCCTTTTTTTGACACTTGGGATAATATTATGGTAATGAGAGAGAGAAAGACACAGAGAGAGAGAGAGTGTGTGTGTGTGTGAGAGAGAGAGAGAGAGAGAGAAAGAG